CTTTGTCCATTTCATAATGTGTGACGTCATTTGTTTACATTTGGATACGCCATGAGCAGATATGAATGTACGTGAGAGAATCATGGAAGATAGTTTAAAGACAGTAAAATCGACCTTGCTAACCGAACGTTCCTTTATGGCCGAAACGGCTAAGGCACGTCAGGCTATGTGACGGTTCCGTATAGGATACAGGTTCGAATCCTGTCGGAGGACGAATATCTTCTATGAAAAATTCTCGCACATTCAGGCCGGTAAGTGTTATTTAATACGGTTTATTATAAATAGAGCATTTAGTTAAATATTTGTATCTATAAAAAAGAATATATAAACATAAAAATGTCTTAAAAATAATTGTCGGACTTTGTCCATTTCATAATTTCACACACACACACACACACACATATATATATATATATATATATATATATATATATATATATATATATATATATATAAGATATTCCCTAAGAGCCAGGCAAACCTACCTATGTTTCACCTAAATGGATGTTCAGTGTAAGCTTTAATCTGAAGATCCGTTTAGGTGAAACCTAGGTAGGTTTGCCTCACTCCTTTTTGCTCTATTTCATGTATTGAGCACTTTGCGTAGTTGTCGTTTTACACGACTTGTTTTTTTTCTTTCTTTGGCCTTGGAGCTTGAACACTGGACGATTGTTTTCGCTTTGGTTTAATATTCTTGGTTCTTTCTTTTTTTTATTCCCATTTTTCTTTGGGTACCGATTTGTTTTACTGCAAGTCGAGCTATCCGAGATTTTTCCAAACGAGTACCGCCATTTATTTATTTATATATATATATATATATATAGATATATAAAGACAAGATTTTATATATATATATAAAGACAAGATTTTCCTTTCCTATATATATATATATATATATAAAAGGCAGGATGTGTGTGTGTGTGTGTAACGGATGCACGACCGCAATTTTCGACAGATTTGCAGGAAAATTTACATGCACATGCTCCAAGTTAGAGAAAGGCCAAGGCCGACTTTGCATTTCCCAACTCCCATTGATAATGGAAATAATCGATATTTTCATGCTTCTACGGCAGTTTTCATGTAGTTTGCGGCCATTTTGTACTGGCCAGAGTGACAGCCTATAGCTGGCTGCCACGAATAGACAGGAACATTCTATTGGCCACCTGATATCGATAGCTGCATTCGTCAAAAGTGGGAAAAATTTAAATCTGCATGGCACTGTACTCCAATTGGCTCATTTGCTTAGCTTAAACTCAACGTTGATTCTGATTCCGCAGAACTGGGTTTGGTGTGAAAAAGTATTTGTTGTTAACATTCTTTCTTCATTCGGTTTTTCTAGTTACGAGTCCTTTTTTAAAGCTGATCGTTTTGTGTTCATTTTGTTTAGTTCTTTTTTCGTAACGGATTTAATTTTTAGTATAGAGCTTAGAAAAAATTCGCAGTGTGAGATAGGCAAGAAGTAAAGCATGTAGTAACATCAGCACGGCAAAGGGCACTCCTTTAAAGGCAAGGAAGGGCAAAAATATTCAAAGTCAAGTGATAGCGATTGTTGTATGAGTCGTACGATTTTTGAATCAAGCACGAGCAACGCCGGGCCGTGCTGCTAGTATATATATATATATATATATATATATATGGGAAAGGAAAATATCTTGTCTTTCGTAGTTTATCAATTTGCAAAAACACTTTTTACTGTAATACGATATTTTCTCGACAGATGGTATTACTGTCATAGCCGTAGCATCAAGGAGCAGCAATCCCACTGGACATTTCAGCCAACGTTGCCTACGCTGCAGTTCGCCATACTAATAAATGTCTGGAAATTAAAGGTCACCATTTTGAGCATTTTTTTGAAATACCTACAACTATTGTCTGTCTTCCTCACGTCCAAATAGGAATGTATATATTTGTGTGTGTGTGGGGAGGGGGAGTTGATTCCGGCTATAAGGTATATTCTATCTGCTATTGTCTCCACAAGTTTCCTCTTATCATTAAGCCAGTGGGACTGTGAGCAGTGCCCAGTGTTAAATGAAAATGTAAGGCAAAACTTGTATATCAAATAATTTTGAAACTTTTTTGTTAGTTGTTTTTGTCAAGCTAGGTGCGTTTATTTTGCGACATATCAGATTTTGTTAGGATTTCTTCTTTTGTCGACTATAAAGCTTAATGGACAAAAATAAGAAGGAAATCATATACACGTAGATATAGTGTCAGTTTGCAACAGAGAGAATTAGGCAGATTAGGTCCGTTTACAACTGAAAGGTGAACCCTTCAAGGCAGTTGGGAATTCTTATATATAAGCTAAATATATAACATCTGTGAATAATAAAACATCGTGCGTTAAAAAGTTCATAGGCTGACTATGAAGGAGTGATGATTTAGCTGTGAAATCTTGCATGCATTCATTTCAACTCTTCTTATTAATAACTGCATCGTTTCTTTCCAGGTACGAGGATGGGCTGAAAAGTTCATAGGCTGACTATGAAGGGGTGAAATCTCGCACTTCTCACTTGTGGAAATCCCTTTTGGTTCCATGCCTTCCAGCCAACTTAATCTCCCCCAAATTACATGCAATATCAATCGATGTCTTCCCGATTATTCTTTTCTGTTTCCGCTTATTATTGATATTTCTGTTCCTAATTCTTTCACCCCCTTTAACTCTTTGTGTCTTAGCGGCTTTATTGCCTTGCTTGGGGTGAAACGAATAAAAAATATCAGACGATATGAAAAGAATTTAAATAAAATAAATAGACAACACTTGTCTATATTATTTAATGAAACATATATCAATATATTCATATATATATATATATATATATATATATATATATATATATATATATGTGTGTGTGTGTGTGTGTGTGTGTGTGTGTGTGTGTGTGTGTGTGTGTGTGTGTGTGTGTGTGTGTAGCCTTAAACAAAATGTACGTCATACTATGAGTCTGCAATTGGTCAACATTTGTTGGACAATCAAGCTTGTGCCTCTGAGTACGAAAACACGTGGTTTTCAGTTTTATAGAATGCTCGATCAACACACCCTCTTAGAGTTTCTGAAGCCGTCTATATTAAGTGTCAGCAACCGAGTCTGTGCAGACAGAAGGAACACTTTTTACGTTCCTTATGTCTTTTGGAGGGTCTGTGAGTTCCCCTTTTTTCTATTTTATATGGTCTCGTTTATCGTTCTTATCTATTTATTTACATCCCCCCCTCGTTCAATTTTAATTTATATAATTAAAATTTGTCTTTTAGTCGAGTTCCACCTTTCTCTCCTCATTTACTTCATTAAGTGTGTCTTTGTATTCATTTATATCTAACATTGCCAACGAATATCTTTGAAAAATCGTTGGCCGAAAGGTACCTTAGGTATGACGTCCATTTTGTTTAAAGCTATCTATCAGTTCTTTGGGTACAAGTCTCTGTTTATAATATATATATATATTAAATTCGGGGCTTTTAGCTCCCATTTTTGAAACATGGTTAGAACTGTGTAGCGAAAAAAAACATATTTTAAATCAATTAATTTATAATATTAATGCTCTGTAATGAGCACTATTTTGTAAAAATAAAAATATCTATAAGAACACCGGATTATATAGCTTGCTGTTCTTTCTTTTTATTTATATATATATATATATATATATATATATATATATATATATATATATATATATATATGAAGAAATATAGTCAAGTAATGCTATATTTATGGGATAAAGTCCTCAATATCAGAGATAGAGCGTGTATATATATATATATATATATATATATATATATATATATATATATATATATATATATATTGCTTACTCTCTAGTTTCTTTAGCAACTTCCCTTTTTCTAGGTTACAAAATTAACGAATCAGGAAGCTGAAATTGTAAATTTAAATTTAATTTTTTTTAGAAATATATCCTTTGGATATTAACCAATTTCATTTAACTTCGTTTTGTTTACGTTTTTATGAATAAAGACTAAAGGAAAACTTAACTTAGCCAACACGTTTCGTCCTCGGATTGGCTTTATCAAGGCAAATGCAAGAATTTTATTTTGTACCAAGTATTTACAGACAAGAGTTTAAAACTAATTAATTTTCAAACTTATTAAATTAAGAAACGCTCATAAATATTCATCAGGTTAGCTAAGAAGGCTGGTTAAATTATGGAGGACGCTAAGTGAAATATTTTCATGTCTAATAAACGAAAGAGTAAAATATCTCCTCGAAATTTTACGTAAATTAGTAATTAAATTATTTTAGTTTTGGGATTAATTTATGCTTTATATATTTTAAATAACATGAGGTTATATATTTAACTGTTTTCTTTTAAGTTTTTAACATTTTTATAGTCGTGTATTTTGGCTATGGAAGGGAGTAATTCTTTCAAGAATGGATATATTTGAAAAATCTGGAGCGCAGATTTATATTTTAATGATATTCAATATCGGAACTTTCTAGATTTTTTTTCTGTTTTAAATCGAAGTTGCGATTGAATTTAGTTCTATGCATGACATTTTATAAATTGTGTGTAAATTTCCTTTTGAGTTCATAAATACGTTTTTTTTTTTATTTCTGAAGGATTCCCCAATGTATTGCAAGTAACTAATGCCTTTTGTGTTACTAAAATATTAATTTATGACCTTTTTGATTCTATATTATATTTTAGTCTGGGCGAGAATTTCCTGGAAACCAATTACAATCTATCTATCTATCTATCCTATCTAAAATTTTCTTATATTTTTCTCAATCTATCATCCATCTATCCATCTATCTATCTATCTATTTCCTAATTATGTTCATCTATCTATCTATCTATCTATCTATCTATCTATCTATCTATCTATCTATCTATCTAATTATGTTCATCTATCTATCTAATTATGTTCATCTATCTATCTATCTATCTATCTATCTATCTATCTATCTATCTAATTATGTTCATCTATCTATCTATCTATCTATCTGTTCATCTATCTATCTATTATGTTCTATCTATCTATCTATCTAATTATGTTCATCTATCTATCTATCTAATTATTATCTAATTATGTTCATCTATCTATCTATCTATCTATCTATCTATCTATCTAATTATGTTCATCTATCTATCTTCATCTATCTATCTATCTATCTATCTATCTAATTATGTTCAATTATCTATCTATCTATCTATCTATCATATCTATCTATCTATCTAATTATGTTCAATTATCTATCTATTATCTATCTATCTATCATCTATCTATCTATCTATCTATCTATCTATCTATCTATCTATCTATCCATCTATTGTTCAATTATGTTCTATTATCTATCTATCTATCTATCTATCTATCTATCTATCTATCTATCTATCTATGTATTAGTGTTCGTGCGCGTGCGAATGAAGGAAGGGAAAATGAAATTCTCCCATCCCTAATGTATGTTCTGTTGGCCAAGAAATACGTGCCTATAATCAATTTATTCCTGAAAAATCAGCCGATGTCATGTCAGCGGTGTTTCTAGCATCGGCGTCATTTTACACCAGTGTCTATCCAGACCTCATCTTGAAGAAAGTCATATTGACATTAATACCCGTGCATCCCGCCGCAGTCGGATATGCAAAGTGACGTCCAACGAATTAGATCACCACTTATAAGGCTCAAGAGCCTCCCTTGGTAGAGGGTAACTGAATGAGAAGTTAGATATGAAATTAAAATTAGTAAGTAAATATTATGACGATATAGAAAATTGATTACAATTGACCCTAAAAATGAAGAGGTTAAGATTTTAGTGATCAGAGAAGTATTCAAGCAGGAGCCTGTTCCACAAAATAGAGCTTCTCTGGGGAAACTGTCTACTTAAAAATGGAATTTGACGAAAATGTGAGTGATTCCACTTTGTTCTTGGAGCATGGTGACTTCTAGCTGTAAATGTCTGAACTGGTGGTATTAAAGAATGAAGCTTATCTGAACATTCGAAATATGACAATATAACAATGCGAAGTAACTTGTCAGTTTTAAAGCATGGTATATTTATGGATAAAAGTGCTGAATACCAGGAATAGAGCTTATGTATATATAAATGTGGACATTGAGATCAACACCGAGCGGCGACAGTCTGGTTCATACATGCACGCAATCTTCAGGCATGAAACAGATTATTGTCTCTTGGTGTTGACCTCAGTGACAAACTTCAGGTGTTGATTTAAAACTGATCATGTTTTTAATCAGCACGTGAAGATGGCGTTGTGCATAAAATTCAGAGTTGTGCAACCGGCGAGGAAATATATATATATATATATATATATATATATATATATATATGTGTGTGTGTGTGTGTGTGTGCGTGTGTGCGCGTGTCTGTGTGTGTGTGTGTTGTAACCTAGGGAAGGTTACTGAATAGAATAATCAAATGAAGGTTGGTAATGAACGATAATACTTAGGACAAGAACAACACATATAAGATTCGCCAGCAGCGCGTAGAAGCAGTAGCTAACAGCTAGAAGTGACTCAAATGAATTCCACATTGAATCTCCAACTGCAGGATATCTACCAACCTCCCCACGTTGTCAAATATGGCACAAGGCCTAATTTAATGCGGGATATCCGAGCACGTAGGCTCAACAGAAAATTCCCCGTAGACCTCCGTATAAAACAAGGTCGGGTAGCTGTTTCCCGAGACGAGACCCTGCCCTTCGATATAGCCTCGTCTGTGGATCCTCTCTTCCAAGAGGCAAAGAGTTTTACCAGCACAGCTGGAGACAAATCTCCAACTGCAGACCAACATACAGTATTTACTATTGTATTTATGTAAATGGGGACATATCCATTATTGTCTGTAGGTATGCTATAAACACACACACACGCACGCACAAACGCACACACACACACTCACATATATATGTATATGTATATATATGTATATATATATATATATATATATAAAGAGAGAGAGAGAGAGAGAGATAGATTGATAGAAACATAGACATGAACAGACTGAGACAGATAAAAAGAAAGATAAATAGATAACGACAGAATAAGATAGATAGATAGATAGATAGATAGATAGATAAACAACAACAGGCTGAGATAGATAGATAGATAGATAGATAGATAGATAGATAATTGAACAGAATGAGATAGACAGGAACAGACTGAGATAGATCAAACCAGATTGAGATAGATAGATAGATAGATAGATAGATAGATAGATAGATAGCGAGAACAATGTGGACGGTATGATTCGACCGATTTCAAATCCTGCAATATTGAACGAGTCGTAGAAGTCTACTCCGTTGATAATATTCTCACATATTTTTCATTGGCAGGTTCATAGAGTTCAGTATCCTCAGATAAATACTGAACGCGACACAATCTTCTTGGCCATATCTGACCTTGGGTTGTTCTAAGCAGGTACAGAGACGGACAGGGATTAATCGGTCGGAGATCGATAGACAAATCGATAAACTGATATCGCATTTTTTCAGTTATCACAAGTGCACCCATATCATTCGACTCCAGGCGTCTATCTGAACTCAAACACCGATGGCCGGCTTCTTATCGTTTTTTTTTTTTATTGTTCACAGGATGGATCAAGTGATTGATAAACACGAGATCTGCCATTAAAGGTTTTTTTTACAAAACTAGGCTCAAGAGGCAGTCAAGGTAGAGCGTAACTGCGTGATGTATTTGACAAGAGGTTAAGATTCTGGAAAACACCACCGCGAGACTCTGATCCACAATGCAGTGGTTCTGGCGAAAAGCTATCCAACTGGATCTTCTTCCATACAACTGGAATACGGAGGGAATTAAACAATGACACTCGCTTGAACATTTGCCATGGATATAGCGAGTGAATAGTGACAGACTTTAGTTTTCGTTTAGGCGAGGGAACTTTAAAATGTTTTTATTTATTTATTTCCTTCCTTCACTAGGAGTAGATAGGTTTTTTGAACAGGAGTAGGGGTTTATCCCTTATTTCCTGTTTAGGATTGGGTTCCTGGATTCTTCTAAAGTCTACTTCAACTCTATACTTCTAACGTTTCCGCTTAAATTTAGAAATGTTATTTATTTTCTTCCTTCAATAGGAGTAGATAGGCTTTTTGAATAGGAGCCGAGGTTTATCCCTTGTTTCCTGTTTAGGATTGGGTTTCCGGTTTCTTCTAAAATCAACTTCAACTCTATACTTCTAACGTCTCCACCTAAACTCTGAAATGTTATTTATTTATTTTCTTCCTTCAGTAGGAGTAGACAGGTTTTTTGAATAGGAGTAGAGGTTTATCCCTTGTTTCCTGTTTAGGATTGGGTTTCCGGTTCCTTCTAAAGTCTACTTCAACTCTATACTTCTAACGTCTCCGCCTAAACTCTGAAATGTTATTTATTTATTTTCTTCCTTCAATAGGAGTAGATAGGTTTTTTTAATAGGAGTAGAGGTTTTTCTATTGTTTCCTGTTTAGGATTGGGTTTCCGGTTCCTTCTAAAGTCTACTTCATCTCTATATTTCCAACGTCTCCGCCTAAACTCTGAAATGCTATTTATTTTCTTCGTTCAGTACGAGTAGATAGTTTTTTTTTAAATAATAGAAGTAAGTTCTTTGCTAAAATCCAGTTTAGTAAGAACGGGCAATAGACTTCAGAATCACGGTTGTATTATTTACCACAGGGTATTTGGGACACTTTTAAATGTGTCATGACACTTTTAAATGCATCTTTGTCCGTGTGAATTATCTTTTTGTTTTTAATAATATTTTCCAGCTCAGAACTGTGTTCATAAAGACGTCGTTATCACATCAACCAATTACGTTTGTTGCTTAATTTCAAGACCCGTTTAAGTTCGTACATTCTTTTCATTAAATTCCTAATGTTCCACCAGTGTATTTTATGGCCTAATATTTACTTCCTATTTTGTACACGCCTGCTGATGTAAAGTTAGTTTTATTTCTTTAAATTTTCACTTATTTTTAGAAGTGTTTGTTATAGCGTAAGTTTATTAGTTATATAACTTGTAGGTTAGATTATCAACAAGTTCTCATCAAGTTGAATTGGCAAGATGTAACCGTAAGTTCTATGCTAACAGTTTCTTCTCTCACACTTCTCACTGGTGAAACCCCCTTCCAGGCTTTCCAGTCAACCTTGATCTTCAAAAATTTAAATGTAATATAAAATCGTTATTTACTGTCTTCTTGATTTCTCTTTTAATAATGTGTTGCTTTTCTCTTATTCTATTCACACTCAGTAATCAGCTATGTCTTAGTGACTGTACTGCCTTGTTTGGGGTGAAATGATTAATATATAACCTTGTGCAAATTAATTGAAACAAAACAAATAATTCCGTTATTATTTTTTTTTTGTATTTTTTCCAATGAAAGCATGACCCGGTGCACATGTTAGTACTTCGTATGTCCATTCCACGAAGTCGTTCTTTGCAGATTGACCCCAGATTCTCGATTGGATTTAAATCAGGAGAGTTTCCGGGCCAGTCTATAGTACTTTGATTTGCTCATAATCTTCCTTTATCGTTGGGAGCAGCCAGCCCCGAAGGGTTCAGAGCTGTTCCCTCAGAGTTTCGAGCAGTTGCATGATGACGACCGGGCCCACCCTGCTGAACAATAGGACACCTGCCTGACGTGGGACCTTCACAAGATGTTCCAGCCCCATTCACGTCGCTATCTTCAATACTTTGATTGGTGTAGTTCATAATCTTGTCAATAGCTGAATTCTTGATGCTTCGCAAGGGTTATCAAGGGTGTTTTTATCGTGACACCAACACTGAATGGATTGCCAACCAAGGCTCAGAAAGACTCCATTCACCCTCATCTAAGAAAGACTATCCCGCGCCAGATTCCAACCTGGTATTTAAATGCCAATCTTGCTCGTCAATTCAAAATCCAACTTTTCCGCGTACTTATTGAGCCAATCTTACTCTATGGCTCTGAAACTTGGACTCTCTCAGCAAAACAACAGCGTCGTTTAGATGGATGTTATACACGTCTTTTAAGAAGAGTGCTTAATCTCTCATGGCGAAACCA